TACATCAGTTGCTTTTAGCGTGTCCAATACAATCCACAGTTCTATCAGCAGCACGGAGTGGTGTTTGTGATGATCGGTGGAGAGTCGGTCATTCCGGTGAAATGGGTGGCAAACGAGAAGGTTTCAATGATGAAATGGGCGAGAAAGTTCGGCGCTGCTGCATTTCAAGTGGAGCATCGTTTCTTCGGTTACAGCAGACCGTTTCCGTGAGTTGCTTTCTGTGAGAAGCTCAGCGAAATTCATGTTTTATATTCTCGTTTGACAAACTGCACAACTGTTCTGAACAAATTCACGTTATCGCCGTAAACAGCACAAAGAGCAGCAATTCCATGGCAGTCTAGCTCAACTCGAATACGTCTTACTAGGCTATGTTCCGCTGCCTTTCCATTACCAGCAAGGCAACAAAATGTGATTTTGACGCTTGTCACCAATGCGTTTCCTCTTCGGTTCGAAAAAGTTCGATTACATAAGTTAAACGCAACAATCGAAAGATAGAACTGGAAAATTGTACGTTATAGGGAGATGACCACCGAAGCACTTGCCTACTGCACTACAGAACAAGCGCTTGCCGATCTCGCTGAATTCATCCGTCAAATGAATGAGAAATATAAGTTCCCCAGTCCGAAATGGGTAACATTTGGTGGCTCATATCCAGGTGTCGCATTCATTCATCCACTGTTACGTTACGTAGCCCATTCATTGCAATTGATTCTAGCAGCAGTGTGACGTTATTAGAGCCTCCTAACGATCATCAGTGCATACCGGTCAATTTCTAAAATGTTTGCATTAGAGTGTAAACTTTGCAGGTTCGTTAGCGGCATGGTTCCGTGCGAAGTACCCTGAACTCACCGTTGGTTCCGTCGCAAGTTCAGCACCTGTGAACCTCAAGCTTGATTTTTACGGTCAGTTCATGAGGCTAAATTTTGAATTTTTTAAAGCTTCGCTTGATTGATGTATCGTTACTTTATGAATAGGCCATATCAAAATAATGCTTTGGAAACACTCATTTGATGAATTTTATGAATCAGTTCTGACGAATCGTCGATTTCAGAATATAGTATGGTTGTCCAAGACGTTCTGCTGGAAACAGACAAAACCTGTCACGATAAAGTGAAAGCAGCCTTTAAACACATACAACGTCTGATACTGACTAAAGATGGTCGAGATCAACTTAATGAAGCGCTTAGGTAGGTATTTAGAAGGCCGAAAGATGTCAATGATTAGCATTCACCAGTTTGATATCATAAACCTGTTCACGATTCCTCTGAACAACTCTTGGTCAGCAGGAGTTCGAAGCTCTTTGATTGGTTTCATAAAAAGAGTAAAATCATATTGACATTAGCTGGATTGGCCAGGCTGTCATCAAACGCTTGTAACGTTGTTGGCCACAATGCTGGCGTTTCCGTTTGCACTGTTTTAGCCTTCATTGACGCCAGTCCGCTGGCTAGTCCAGTGCAAACCAGCTAATTGACATGAGTATTGCGGTTATTACTTGTTACTTACACATCGAGCGGTTGTTTTGTTGATCGCG